TCTCTAACACTCAAGACTCCTCAACTTAGTCGGCGCTGCAACTAAAGTAACAGCCGGTAACTACCGGCAGATTTATACCTATCAAAACAATCCATTTGCAATTGCAAAACTTTTTTGGTAGAATAAAAATGATCTATTGCTTACCAAAACAATTGAATTGCACAAATTATTTTGCTTTTGAATGAAAAAAATTTACCAGAACTCGAATGATTTCGATAAATTTTTCACCGAATGTTTGGCAAGCTTTTGCCGGTCAAGCGACTCGAACGGAACAATAAAGTTTGTTTTTGGGAATGAATATATGATAAAAAAATAGCAAATTTTGAGCTGAAATTTGAACTAGTGGAGGTCAACAAAAGTTAGTGGTAAATAAAACTTAAGGGGAAAAAATGAGCGATAGCTTGCAGCGTTTTGTCTATTAAACTTCATTGAAAATTCATTTAGTTTGCATAAATTACCCATTAAATGTATCCGGTAGTTTTATACTTTTGATACTTCGTAAACTTTCAGAAAACTTCAAAACTAGCTGATGAAGTAAACCTTCACTCATCCCAGGCACTTTAACTCGCTTCAAACGCTTCATAGAAAGTCAATCCAGCATACACCTCTTATTAATCTTCTCTGATAAATTTACAAGTTACTTAACGAATTGTAAACTTTAAGAAGTCCTTGAAGCAAACAGCCGGAAGTATTATCAGATAATTTCGTAATTACTCACTCGCCATTGTTTCGGTCTTAATTATCAACGGAAGTAAGCAACAAAAAAAACGGTTCGGAAATTAAAAGTTCAATAAGCTCGGATTAAGCTTATTGCTCTTCTGTGACAACAGAGCGGATGATTTACGAAATAAATTATTCTTTGAAGGTATTAATGAACAAAGAAGTTCCATCTTGTGTATACCTATATTTTGTAGGTCTTTCAGCGTCATCTTTACTCTTACAGTGTCGCATCTAAGTGGAATCTTTGTCTGTCATCTTAGCGAGCAGAAACTGCTGCCAAAGAGACGAAAACAGAAGTAAGAATGAAATATTGATTGAAGAGATTTAATCAAAAAAATAAAAATAAATTTAATTAAAAGAACAAAGTTATGCCCTTGGACAAATTACTTACGCTCAATTTGATCCAGACTTTTAAAACTTAACGAATGCTGCTTTGTCCTCCCTGATTTCATCGATTAAAATAAAAAGGTATTATATTTTAACGCTAAGCGGAAATTCTCTCTGAAAACGCTGATTAAGGACACGCTGAGGATGGAAAATAAATAAGGAAATAATGAAAGATATTTTGAAACGTTGCAGTTGAAAAAAAAGATTTTCTTAATGCGTCGAGCTGAATCGAATCGACTGGCTGATCAAAGGGATGAAAAAGATTAAAAAGAAATAGGACAAATGCAAAGACACTTTCCCGAGTAGCTACCAGCTGGTTAGAGCTTCTTTACGCGGGTTATTTTCTCGTTCTACCATTTGGCCACTCTTTGCCGCATTTTTCCCTTTATCTCTGGCGGTTTTTATTTTTTTTTCTTGCTTTCACGGAGACAACAAGTAAAGCGTTGCGTCTATTGAAAAATGTAGGGTTTCTTGTAAAAATCTCAATGTTTTAAAAAATATTTTTCTTGGATTTTTTAACTTGTAAGACTTTAGAATTCAGGTTTGTGAATTTGGTTTCTAAAGATCAAACGCTGGAGAAAATAAAAGCATTCATTTTTTACGGGAAAATTAGTTCTTAACGTTTTTCTTAATTATTCTACTGGTTTCTCTTGGTTGTGATATTCTTGATTTGAAATTTTTTTTGTCTTTAATCGGTAATTATTTATCGAATGATAAACTAATTGTATTATTTATGACCATATAACAATCATCACTGAAAACAAAAAAATCATGCTATTTGAATCCACTTTTTAAGTTTTCCGAAGAGAAACAATTTCTTTTCAAGATTGTGAGTAAACTATTAGAGATGCGAGGAAATTGTTAAGGGTAATTTCTGCAGAGAATAAAATTTTCTACAAAAAAAGTTTTCTATCATTTATTTGTATCTTCAATATTTCACCTGTAATTTTGATTCAAATTTTTACCATTAACCCTTTTGTAAGCAATCAATATGAAGTAATTGCACTCTGAAATAAAAAGTATTGTTCTTGTCAGAATACAAAGTATTATCGAAGAAATTTTTCTATAGTTAATATTAAGCAATACCGAGTTTAGTTTGAGATTTATACTCTAAGCAATGATACTATAGTAAATTCCGAGTGCTCCCTCATATGTTGTAGTGTTTATATTGATGTTCAGTGTATTTATAACATGTACTCAGAAAATAAATTAAAATAATTATTTTGTCATATCAACCGCGAAAGTTGGATTTTCGAGCAACACTCAGAGGGTGCAAAGAATATGATTTCTGGCAATCTACAGTTTAGTTAATTTACCTCGCGCTAATATCGAAAAGTAACTTCTTTCTCTCTCTATCTGTCTCTACATTTCTGCACGACTACGCTAAAATACGCTATAGATAAGTCAAATTATCTTTTAATTCAACAAACGTCCGCTAGGTGGAGTAAAAATTGCAAAAAGAATCTTAGCGACAGTTGAATCTTGTAAACAACTTCAACATATACGTACGTTTAATCCATCGCTATTTAATCTCGTGTGACATAATTCTTGTGCCTTTAAATAAAATAAACAGTAATTGAACATTCTTGACTGTTCTCTGACGAAAAATTATGTTCGATACTTTATGCTCAAAGGTAGGGACCGTGACAAACTTGAAGTGAAGGCACACGATTGAGGCTATGGATATATTCTCATAAAGACCTCGTACTATATCCGGACTCGCTGCAGTCGTCTGGATAAATAACTCGGTCTTGATAATATTGCGCCCATAGCCTCATACTTGTGACGTCACTTCAAGCCGTCAAAATCCCTATCTTTGCGCATATGTATCAAAAATAACTATTTTTCAGTGCTGCACTTCCATGGCATTCCGCAAAATCTAACTTCAACTCTGATCTTTTTAGATAGATTTCTTTGGAAATGTAGCTATGGTAGTCGAACTTATGTCGCAATTTGAAGAAAATATTGTCATAATATGTCTCCATTTTACATTCGGTATTCTTACTATAGTAAATTCAAGATTGTGATAATCAGTATAGTTTAGTGCTGAGAAAAATACTACGTATTGTTAGTAGAACAATACTAAGTTTTTTTCTTAGCATAAGAAATATTGTCAGTGGCAAAATATTTTTTTTTCAGTGCATGGAAAAATTATTTGTAAACAATTTAAATCAAATTGTGAGTAAGGTATTGGAAGTACGAAAAATCGATAAGAATTATTCTATAGAAAATTGAATTTTCTAAAAGAACGGCTACTTAAAAATTTTTTGTATCTTATTTATTGTAGTCAGAATTTAGTTTCAAATTTTCACAACTTTTCTTGTCAAAATTGTTGGGTGAGAAGTTTGATACATAAATTCAAACTGAATATTTTAAAGCAATAGTGAAATTTTAATAAAAATATTTTACTTTTCTAGAGCACGAATTTCTTTTTTTTTCTACAAAAATGCAATCTTGAGAGAAAAAATCATCCAAATCTTATTTAATTCGAGTTTTACCATCAAATTGAAGTAAATCTCCTTTATAATTTTCAGTAATTGATACTAAATAAAAACAGATATACAAAAAACATAAACCGATTAAAGGCAGAGATGGGACGTCGTGTAAAAGATTTAAGGTTTACCACTGGCATGTTTTCGTTTCGGTAGCCTGCTGCTGACGCGAAAGCTAAATTTTTCTTCCCAAAGCAAACTCTGCAGCAGTTGGGATCAAAGATTGATGTGAGGCATTTGAGGCCAGATACTGTGGTCTACGAAATGAAAAAGGTCGCATCCCCTATCCTACGTCCCCTGTCCCAGCTGTGCTGATATAAATGACAACCCACTTTTTACGTCAATAAAGTTATTAAATTGACAAAAGTTTTTACGTTTTATAACTTTTAAACTTTTTTACATACGAAATTCTATGAGGGTCATTCTGCCAAAAACGTTTAACTTAAAAATTTTCTGATTTTTTTTAATATACAGCAAACTGCATCTTCGTTAAGAGTGGTCAAATCAGAGTAGTAAAAAAACAATTTAAAGCTTGAAGTTTCTATGTTTGAGATCTGAGACGTCTGCACTCCGATCTTGAACCAACAACTCAACAACCTTGCTTTGTGTCATACCAACTGTTTTTACAGCGGAAATACAAACGAGAAAAATCGACATCTTTTTTACTTATACTGAAATTTTTCTTATGACTACTAATACTTGCCAAGTGATGGAAATATATAACTATTTATTAATTATGTAACACTTACTTACACTTATGGTTTATATATTTTTCAAAACTCAATACATAAAATACAAATTATTATTCTATAGAAATAACAAGTAATTTAGACTAGAATTTATGATTTGGAGTGTTATACCCTTGAACTAGTTGCATGTTAGTCGCTGTATGTAAATGATAAAAAACGTGTTGAGTAGTCTCTTTACATTATAATTGTAACAATCTCAATAACAAATAGAAGATTATGGTGCGTAGTCACATCGTGTGATGGAAGCGATTTTATCGTCGTAAATATATAAATGTCTTAGAAAAATAGGAACGCGTGGCCAGAATTTTCGCGAATAGCTTGAAGTGAAACCTACAATCAAATCTTTTATGCAGTAGAGTCTGCCCAACTTCAACTGAGAGATGCCCCAAATTCCAAGAATTGAATTTGGAGAATACACAGAAGTAGATAAGCCCTTCCACTCTTTTTAGTGAAAAATGGTCGAGAGTTGAAGTTGGAGGACAAGGAAGTTAGGGAAATTCCATTGCAATTACATTATTTAATCCGAAAGAAATTATTTTAATTGTATAACTACAAGGTAAATATATTGTAAGTTCATTTTAAGTTTGTTATGATGATCTACCCACTGAACAGGGTTCAGTATATTATTCAAAGAGTTAGCATATACTCACAACTATTCTATTGGGATAAGCCGACCTCCGACGTATTTAACGCGTTTTTCAAGTGTTCGAATTATCGTTCTCCTATGTCGTGCTGCCTTGTACTTTACAATGAGTATTTCAGCTACAAAAATCAATATGCCAAGAAAGAAACAAAGCAAAATGAATAAGAAAATGCTTTCTAAATTTTCAAATTCGATTTCATCATACTCTACACTTGCATTTTCAACTATTTCCTTAGCTTTAAACTTTTCAAAAATGTATTTTGATCGTTGCTTATCCCATAATTCAAACAAACCTATTTCTAGAAATTCCGAGGTTACTTTGTTAACTCTTTCCTGGAGAACCCAATCTTTATTAGTCCAATAAGTTACATAAAAAGGATCCAATTTTTTTTTAGCCAAATGCAAGTTATAGTTATATGCAGCTTGTATTTGATAGTATAGATAAGCCAAACAGGCATTAGAACTATCATTCAAAACTTTATCGTGGCAATTCGATGGATGATAACTGAACGGTCGCAAGTACGTTTTATTCAAATTCAAAATTGATGTCTGTTCGTTAATAAAATTTTTCATGTAACTGGGGTAGTAAATATTAAACTTAAAGTCTCCTAAATCTTTTAAATTTTCAGGGTAAGACTGCTCGGGTTTTGTTGAGTAAGAAAAAATTTGGCGGACTGGTAATTTATCCAACGGTGCGTCTATTCCAGCACCTATGGAGAGCCGAATGATATCCAAGAACCCGTTGCCATAATTACGACCATTATGGATTACTAAAATCACGAACGATACTACTAAAATAAGAATTGTTACGCTAATAATTTCAAAACTTAAAAATTTTTCATAGTTTTTAATTGTCCGAACAATACTTATGCGCTGAGTGAGAATCATGACGCTATATTGACGATTCAAATTTATAAAATCGATGTCGGATATAGATTCGAGCTTGCGGACATCTAAAGCCAAATTATATGTACTATTCATTAATTCCTTCAAATACCCAAATGCAGTATTATTAAGCCAATAGCCTGATTGACTATAATATACAATGGGTGTGATATTTAGTGCAGAAAATAAGGTTTTCGGATACATAATATTTTGGACTTTGTTATGTTTTTGTAAAGAATCCAAATCGTAAGTTTTACCATGCGTATAATTCAAGAACGATCTACTAACAGCTTTTACTTCGTAACCATCCAGAGACTTTGTTTTGTCGTAGGTGAGACTCTTACAAGCTTCTTTGTCTGCAACAGAGAAAAATGTTTGTGGAATTAATGTAAATTTTATGTTAAACTATTGCAAATTTTGCACATACCATCTATATAAGGCTGTTTGTAGAGACTCCATCGATTGTCTGGTCTGTCGGTTAATTCCACTTCCACCCACGGCTCAGGTGCTCGGTTGGTAAATGGATTATATGTATAAAGTATCATCGTGTCCTTGTCATCAGGCTCATAGCAGACATAGAAAGCTGAGATCAAATTCATTTTCCAGAGAACTTGGAGTATTTTCGAAGCTTTGTCACAAGATTCTTCGTTGATTCCAATGACGAAAAACACAGAATTAATGCTCCATGTCGGCGATGACTTCAATGCGAGCAACAGATCTTTCAATTCGCCAGCAGAATTAGCAGAGAGAATATAAGTCGGATAGGCGGGGTTAAATATTTGGATTTTCCTGGCTTGATAGTCATGGTCAATGATGTTGACATGTGATTGATCAATGTCTCGTGAAGCTCCGTAGATTACGTCAACCAAATCATCAGTAATGACAACCGGATTCGTGCGTTCAGAAAAACACAATTTTATCAATTTACTCTATTAAAGATTGAAACAAAAAGAATCGAGTATTAAAAAAGTTTGGAAAATCCAAAAGTGCACGTCTCATAAAGCTCATTTATCACAAAAAAAAATAAGATAAAACTGAAATGGTCGGAAACGCCCTTGTGTGGCCAAAGATTGAACTATATTTTTATACATATACACAAAAAAGACTATTCACTGTTAATGAATTAATTCATTTTTTAATTAAATTACATTGAATTAGATGGTAATTTTCAATAGACAGAATGATACCAAAGCAAATGAAAAAAAAAATTAGGAAAACGGTTGACCCTGAAAGCCATCCCTGCAACTTCCCGCCAATTCTATACCTAAATGCTTGAAATTGCACTTATGAAGTTTTAGAGCTCTTCGAGCTCATAAATACAATTTGTGTATTATTTTGAGCTCTCCGAGTTCAAAAAATAGCTTTTGTATGCCTTTGAGCTCTTCGAGCTCAAAAGTTTGATAGAAGTTTGATAAAACACTATTTTTTGAATTTTCAAATCGCAATAACTTTTGAATGAATGAACCGATTTTCACGCGGTTGGCGGCATTCGACGCAGTTTTTTAAGCTTCATAAAAAATCTTTGAATTTATATTGACAGAGTGGAAAAATTCGGAGTAATTCCGAAAAAACGCTTTTTTCGCTTTTCTTTCGTCAACGATAACTCACGAACGAATTAACCGATTTTGACCAGACTGGCGGCGATCGACGTGGTTTTTTGACGTTAAGAGCTGATTAGTTTTTGAAATTGATCGGTAGAGCCGTTTAAAAGTTATTTCAAAAAAACCACTTTTGAAAAAATTTTTTTTTGTAGTTTTTTTACGATTTCTCAAATTCTATCGGTCCGAATCGGTTCAAATTTTCAGGAAATCTAAGTTTGGTCAAGCCCTTTCGAATGGCACCAACCGCGATCAAATCGGTCAAGCCGCTCAAAAGTTACAAGAGGTTTACATACATACA